TCCCACCTTTCTTTTATGCCCACTCTGTCCCCTGATGAGCCCTGCATTCAGGTCACATTGTCCTCTGAGCCTGCTACAGTCCTGCCTCCAGCAATGTGCCTTCGCACCCTCCTCCAAAACCAGTTCCCAGTCACCTCCCAGACTACCTTACTGGCTTTGTGTCTCCAAACCCATCAGGTCACACGGCTGCTGGTATGCTTTAACCTCCTTGCTTCACAAAACCCAAATCCCCAGGACAACGCTAAGTCTATCAACTATCTTAAATAAAAATCACCTCATTTGGGAAGTAAATTCATCCTGATGACTATGAACAGCCCAGGGCACAACTCAGTTTTATAAACTGCTCTGCAAAGGAACTGCCACACTGAACGGATTCCTCCAACTTATCTCAAATAGAGCTGCCAATCAGGCAAAACAAATTTGTATAAAAAGTCAGTGAGGCGGCTTTGATGGTCTGCAATCCTGGAAGCTGTGAGATTTCTCAGCCTCCCCAGATCCCCTGCTCCACAAACACACACTAGGAACATGTAGAGCAGGGCCAGTTCAGGTTAGCTGTCAGGAAATGACACAGTTCTATGGTTAAGAGTTAGGGCAGGTGTACTTATACGCACTCGACCCCACAACACTCGGGAGACTAACTCCGTATTGACCACCAGGGCTGTAAAGGAAAGTTAATGAAGAAATACCACAGCAAATAAGCACGAACTATCAGTGATATGGGTCATTAAGCACTCTGCGTATCCTTTCTGTTTTCTTTGTACGATTTTGGTACCAGATCAAACCCAGGGGTATTTTACTACTCAACTGTATGCACAGCACTTTTTTAGTTTTTATTTGACACGGGGTCTTGTTAAGTTGCCCAGACTGGCCTCAAACTGGCCATCCTCCTGCCTCAACCTCCCAGAGTGCTGGGATTACAGGTATGCGCTACCACGCCCAGCTTGGGTGTTTTTCTGACCAACTGGGAACCAACTGGGAAATAACACACAGGGAACAGCTGTATAGAAAACAGGTGACACCCTTAGGCTAGGCAGAGAAGGAGGGCTCACCTGCTCACACACCTTGGGCATCCCCCCCCCAAGAAGGGAATAAAAGGCAGAGGGAGGGTGTGTTAGGTGGGTACAAGGGACATGAATATGATCAAAATATATTACACACATTGAATGCCCAAATGTGAGACTTGGGGGGTAGGATGAGGTGAGGGGTGGCAGGGAAAAATGATTAAAGTATGTTGTGTGCATGTACAAGTCCACCAAAGTGAAATTGATAACCTGCACAACTACTGTGCACTAACAAAAAGTGGGAAAAACTAAGAAAGAAGGGCTATGGTTTCAGTATGTCCTCCTTGAAAAGTCTCATAGAAACACACACACACACACACAAATGACAGTCACAGGTTATTAAACTGTTTAAAATACTCTAAGGAGAAGAATTCGTTTTTTAAAATACAGACCACATTAGTTTGTGACATCATTGTTGACTTTTCTTTGAAATTTGTTTTATATTCACCTTCATTTTGGGAAAAGCCGGTGAAGGCCCACGGGCACATGTCTTTGAGATCAGGCTGTAGGGCTGTGTGTGTACAACTGCGTGTCACAAACACAGTCATACATTAATGAGCAAAGTCCTCTGAACCTCTGCCCCCAGTGGCTGGCTCTCCCACTCTTTCCTTTAGACTGATTTACAAAGAGTTCCTGCATTGATAAAGAAAAATAATTTATCTCCCCATTAGAGTAACACTTATCAGAGATGAGTAACTGCCAGTCAATGCTCCTAAACAAAATGAGACCATTCAGGTTCTGAATATCAGGTCAAAACAAAGCATTAGGGTACTTTCCTATGAGCTCTCGTAGCCTGTTGGGGGAGGAGGATATTTATGTTGTCATATTTGAACATTTCATTTAAAAAAATAGCTAAAAGATCTCCTTTACCATCTGCAAAACCTCTCAGAACTCAGTGGGAGTTAGATCTCACTGCAGCAGATGGGCAGAGAAGAAACAAGAGAGGAAGGAACCTTGTTGAGCTCACAAAGCTTCCTGGCTTCTCTTTTGACAATCTCTTGCCCTGCCCGGACTTTGCCCAACCTCGTGCTCCCTCTGCGATCTGGCAAGCAGGTGCCTGCATTTCTCTCATCAAAATAGGAATTGTGTGTGATCCTGTATATAGATGTAGATATAGATATAGATATAGATATAGATATAGATATGTATCACGCTGAAAACAAAAGTTAATGATTGATAATATAATACTATACATTTCCTTTAGTTCTATTTTATAAGTCTTGCAACGCTATGATTTTATATTATTGTATTTTAAAGTGCATTCTCCTTGATAAAAGCCACTACAAAATTGTAAGAATAAAAATAACAAAGCCTAGCCTCCCCCTTTGAAAAAAAAAAAGAATGCATAGAAAAATATGAAAGATCAGAGTTGTCCTGCATTAAGGCAGCATGGAAGAACAGTTTGAGGAGGAGGGACAGGGTACATTAACAGCGGGGAATGAATTAAGGCCACAACAAAATGAAACTGAGAAATTGCTAAATGAAACTCTGAGTGGGGAAAATGAAAAATCAATGAAGGAATAGGGAAAAAAGGTACATTTTTCATCTTCATGATGCTTGATTGGGTTTGTGGAAATTCATTTTCAATTAATGTGTCTTGTGGCATTCAGCCAGGCTAGATATGAACAAGGCCCATATTTTAATCAATTTTTTCTATTAAATTTGAAGTAATATATAATAGAATAGCACTATTCAAAAGGATCAGTTGAAACTGGCTTCTGAAGTAAAATAATCTAATTTGGTTTGATTTCTATCTTATATTAAAGATAACCCAACTGTTCTTTAAGGCGAGGGATAGCAAGGGCTCTGGTCCTCTAGGGCCCCTAAAAATGACTTGGCCATAAAAACGTCAGGGATGGATGGATAAAGTAGCTCCTTGAGTACATTCATTGGGAGGGAGTGGGGGGTGAGGAGAGAGGAGGAAAGCGAGAAGAAGAAGTAAGAAAGTGCAGAACAGACGAAGGAAAGGAGAGAGGGTTGAATTAGCCCTTGGGGTCAGAAACAGCCCAAGTCGGCACTGCCATTTGACCTAGAAACTCAGGTTCCAACATATTTGTCCCCTTTTGCCCTTTCAGTACCTTTACACGGGCAGGGCTGAGACCGGGCTGGGTCAGCCCTCCAGAGCTGAGCCACACCTTCACTCACACCAGCTTGCTCCACGAGATTCCTGTGCTTCACTGAGAGGCCATCATAGAGACATAGTGCTGCCCCGGAAGTGAGGATTGAGGCCGGAAGTGAGAGGTGAGGCTGGAAGTGAGGAGGAGTGAGGCCGGAAGTGAGCAGTGGGGCTGGAAGTTAGGAGTGAGGCTGGTCTGAGAGGAAGGCTGTGTGATGTTGTGTGACTCACTTCTGCAAAGAATTTGTTGGGGCCGAGATTACCTGCACTGTTCTTTTCTCCGTGACTTAGAGGCAGGTAGAAGGGAAAAGTGAGGAAGCACCGGTTTTACTCCTGTTGGTTCCTCCCCAGACACAGTTTCAGAGACTCAGTGCCAAGTGCTGAACACCAGGGAGCACATCTGCAAAAAACTAGTGATTCTAAAAACTTTCCAAAATGTTCCCAAAGCTTAAGTGCCCTGAAGTATTAACCCTCTTCTCCTCTCAACTTCCTGCCATCTCCCCTTCTGCTTGCCTACGACCCTTGCCTGTGGGGCCGCTTGGAGCTCAGATCTAATCAGCCATGAGGAACCACTGAGAAATAACGAGCAGAGCAGTAGCATTTTCTTGGTGTGTTGCACTCACCACAGCTGTTCTCCACCTATCTTTCCAACATCTGCATTTACCCATCACTCCCTCCTACAGTCCAAACTACATTAATGCTCCCTGAAATCACCCTGGATGTTGTAGTCTCCACTCTTTGTTATTTATTCTGTATCTTATCTGGTGTGACCTTTCCACTCATTCAGTGCTACCTAAAAAAATCCAACCCATCCTGCAAGGCCTTGTGAAACTCTCCCTCTTCCCTAAAGACTCTCCGCCCATGCCAGAATCAGTTCATATTCCTAGGCTCTGTCTGCCTCTGGGGCGGGACTATTATGAGCATTCTCATGTTACTGGAAGGAATCAGAATCTTGGAGAAGAAATGTGATTCGCTCATGATGCACAGACTGGATCAGAGGCAGGACGCAAAGCAAAGGTGGATTGTGTTCACTCAGAGCCTATGGACTTAAGTCATCATGCTTCACGCTTCAGCAACACAGCTCATACACATCGCCAGCCACATTCTGCCTCAAGTTCAGACGAGTTTAAATGTCAGAAATCCTGAGAGGAAGAGCTCATGTTTCACAGAAGGTGTTTCCTAAACTTTCCTGTGTCCGCAGAAATGAGATTCCCATATGCTCTCCCTGGCTCCTACACATACACACATACCCTGACTCACAAGGACAACACAGGGGCAGGAGGTCAGGAATAGTCAAAGAAATCGGTACTGGGTTTTGGGTGCTAAAGTCTTTCAGAGGTGGTTCAGAGATTCTGTCATGAGCAAAGAATGGGTCAAGACAAGCACAAATGATAGTGAGCTTTACATGCATTAATGGCAGGAGAAGACAGAGTTCTGCAGAGTGCCTTTGGGCCAAGTAAATGTAAGAAAAGTGTGAGAGTAGAGGTGTGAGAGGACACAGTGGACGAGAGCTCAATAGCAGCTGTCCTTTTTCTATCTCCCACCTTGCAGGCTGACTTCAGGACTAGACTGTCCTATCCAGAACGGCTCAGGTTCTTGCGAGAAATCTATGTGCATGTGTCCTGGAACTGTACAATTGACAGGTCATACCTGCTTCTTCAGCCAGTCTACTATGCCCTAATCTCCTGCCTCAACATGGCAAAGGGAAAGAAAACCACGTTGGCAAAGGTGACATGAAAAAACTAGCAGGTGATGATACTGGAGAAACAAGGTTTCTGTGATCCCTCCCCCCAAAGAAGACCTACTCACACAATACACAAAAATTAAATTCCACATGGATTATTCTTTATTTCTCCAAAACTATTTATTGAGCACTTACTATATGCCAGCGACTTGAAGGTATAGTCCTACACAGACAAAAATCCCTGCCTCCTAGAGCTTACATTCTACTGGAGAGAAGGGAAACAAACAACAAAAACAAGCAAAAAGGACAAGTGGTAAGTGTCATGCAGAAAAAGATAAGGCAGTGGTGGAGGGCAGACATCTGAGTGGTAACCAAAGGTCTAAAGATGGAAAACGAAATTTTAAAAGTATTACAGAAAATATGTTTATGACAAGACACAACACAGCACAGAAACATTGACAACTGTTGACACCACCAAAATTTAAAAATTATACAAGAGAAACCACAAACACCTCTGAATAGGAAATAGCAATGTTAGCCAAATATTTCTTGACGATTGTATGAGTAATCTGCAGCGTCTGTATAAATGAGCAGGAAGAAAAACAAATAACCTCACATAAAACATGAACAAAGGACATGAACACGAATTTATAAAGGAGGAGGCCCGAGTGTCCAATGACCTTGTGAAAAGTCACTAGTTCTCATGACTGTAAGGAATGGAAACCAGGCTGATGCAAATCGAAATTAAACCAGTGAGATGCGATTTTATAACTGACCAAAATTATAACCCCCATGGAGCCAAGTGGTGATGGATGTCTGGAAACCTCTGCTGCACCAAACATAACTGAGGCAGTACTGTGCATGGAGAGAGCCACCAGCAGCACCCACAGACCCGGCACTAATCACCTCACTCCCCAGCAGTGGCCCCCGCTCAGTGTGCTTGCTAGTGAAGGATGTGTGGAGACATGTTTCCCTCTGTACCAAATGTGCATCAGTGGGACAAACAGAATGCAATAAATACAAATCAAAGTACATTTAGCTACTGCAAGGAGGAATTTAGATCTGTATGTAATAACACTACACAACTAGGAAAAGGGTCAGTTGCAAAGTGGCAACAATGCTACTTGTTACCTACACTGTAAATTAAAGTTTGTATAAATTTTTAAACACACTCTGGGCTGCCTACTAATACTAGATCTATATCTCTGTGGTAGAAGTGAGGAGCAGAAGAAGGAGACGAGCATAATCAGGCAAGAGTAAAACAGAACAACCTGAGCTTTATCTGTAATCTTTTCTTTACAAAAAAGCAGAGGCAGGGACATGAAGTTGTGTTTTTTATTATTCTCTATAATTTTCTGCATTTAACTTCCTTCCATATTTAAAAAACAAGAAAATGACAAAACTTGGTTTTGGTCTCAGAGATCTGGGTGTAGACCCAGAGCCAGGAGTCTTTGCTGAGATACTGCTGGCTATTTATTTTTTTCTGACTCTAAGTCTTGTTTAGAAATGGGAGGTAGGGCTGGGGATGCAGCTCAGTGGCATAGCACCTGCCTGGCAAGCATGAGGCCCTGAGTTGGATTCTAAGTACGAGAGAGAGAGAGAGAGAGAGAGAGAGAAAGAGAATGCTTCCGGCCAACTAGAAGCCAATTCAACGGAGAAAACTTGGGTTTAGGGACCTCTGCCTCAAAGAGACAAAGGGCAGCTTGGGTGCCATGAAATGCATCCATCTATGTGCCTGCAGCAGTTCTTTCTACAGTACACAGGGCGGGGAGGTGGACACCACTGTGCTCTTTCAGGTGCCTCCTAAAAATTTCATTTTAGATAAGTAAGTCGGGGTTTAAAGCAGCAACTGACACTATGTTACCCACAAGGCCCTGAGGCGCTTACACTTCCATGTGCTGTACACAAATTCTGCCTCAAACCTTCGTAACTCCTCCAGGGGGCGGTGTAACAAGTTGTGGGCTTCAGCGTCAAGGCTGAGGGTCCAGGGAAGGGCGGAGTGGGTAGAGGAGGGTGGGCTGTGGAGTGGGGGAGGCAGAACTTAAACACAGAACTCAGGCTTGGCTGGCAGTAGATCCAGCTAACAGCATGTCACAGAATAGGCAGGAAAGAAGTCACCTGAGGCTCACCAGTAAAGGCAGAGCAGAGTAGACAGAGATGGGCCCTGAGGAATAGGGGAAGCCACACTCGAGATCCCCAGAAAGTCCGGGCCTGGGGCTGGAGCAGGAAGGAGGCACTAAGACAGGTATGGCCCTTTAGGCACCTTGCTCCCTATCTGCTCCACAAACCCAGGCTCGTCTGACCTCCAGGGACTGTCCCCAGCCCCAAAGACAGAAGAAACTGCAGGGTGGAAGAGAGCCCACCACCACTGCCCTCTCACACCAATTCCCTAAATTCATGTTATTCCACTTTTTAAACAGTAACAAATCTACTGCACTAGAACAGATGCCAAAGACATTTCCACCGGAGATTCAGAAAAACATCAGAGCAGTAAAGGAATCCCCAGGAACGGCACAGGTCACCAGGCCAGGGTAATATCTAAAATAACAGTTGCCCAAGCTGATGCTGGCTCCCTTCGGAACCCAGCAGAGCATGTGGGACCTGCACAGGAACCCAGCACTGTGCCCACCGCAGAAGCTACCCGTGAATGCAGAAGATTGCCCGTCACATCCTTTCCTTCCCGCTCCCTGTTGGCTTAAGCTGGGCAGAAGCATCAGAATGAAAGCCCAGAGGCAAATATCAACAGGAAAGTACCCACATTCCCACTTTGCCACAGACACGTGGTGGGAGAGGAGAAGCAGCCAGGGTCACAGGGACCCAGCCTTTCGGGGAACCCACTCCATCAGCCCAGTCCCCTAGCTGGAGGGCTGGTGCCACCCTTGTCAGCACTGCTGCCCCGGTACCTCTTACAACTCCGTGGGTTTCTGAAGAAATACCAGCATGAGTGGCTGTCAGCAAGACCAAGACCAAAGCACAGACGCAGGGGGCGGGTTATGTCAGTAGGTTTTAGCCAAATACACTTCTCTTTAGGTGAAATCCATTGAACTGTCCATTCAGTGACGACAGCAAACCAAACTGCTCTTAGGGAGAGCAGGAAGTTGGCTAGCAGTATTGAGACCCATGCAGAAAGGGACTCTCAGGGCCACCTCCTGGACGCACGCATCACCAAACCATTTGGATGCCAGGCAGCATATGCAGGGACAGGGATGGCCCAGGCAGCACTCATGGCTTCTAGCTCTCCCCCAGTCCCTTTCAGCAGAAGTCCTCGACAGCTTTTCCACAGGAAGGGTTCATTTTCCAGGCCCCACTAATACTTTGTAGATTATTTTCAGGATTAATTTTCAGTGCAAGTTTTTCTTTGAGACCTGGGAGCCCAAGTTTCTAAAAATACTCGGTGGATCTCTGAGATCTCTTGACTCAGCATTTTGAGGTGTCCAAGCAGAGGTCATCGCGCATGGGCGTCTTCACATTTTGGAGGGCCCCAGGCAGCCAAGTCTTGCTATTTTGTTCCTCTGTACCACCTGATCCCAACAGAGAGGGTACAGGGATCCCTCTCATCACAAGCAGTGAGAAGAACCTCTTCCACCCACCGTGGGCCACCAGGCTGTCATCTTCCAAAGAGCCGGAGACTAAATCTGGAGAAGAGCTCGTGCGACATGATCTGGAGACAGTTCAATCGAGTGGGTTAGGGCTGAGAACTCGGGGCCCCACGCCTTCCCCTCCCACCATGGCTCCCAACACAGGCATCTGGCTGAAGGTAGCACCCACAAACAGAGAGAACATTTACAGTGGGAGATTCTGGGGGGCAGGGTGGGGAGAATGTAAACTAAAATTAAGCTTTTATGATTTCTTTCTCTGTGAGTGTTCTAATCAAGAGTCTGATGGTTACAGAGCACAGAAGGAAATAAAAAAAAAAACCCCAAAGGTCCCACGGGAAAACAGTGGCCCTGTGTATTGGGATAGCAACCAGCTACTGCTGTTGATCCTTTTCCTTTACTTCAGGCATATACAGCAGGAGCCCATTCATTAGTGGTAATAATAGCAACAGCAGCTGGTATTTAATGTTTATTTACTATATCCCATTACTGTACTGTTAGTATATTATTATAATATATATGTAATTTAACTCCTATTAAAAAACCTTTTTAAGTAGATATTATTATTAATCCCATTTTGCAGATAACTGAGTAACTTTCCAGAGCACCCACAACTACTAAATGCAGGTCGGCTTGATTCAGAAGCTCAGGCTCAATAGTTAGAAGCCCCGAGAGGTCCCCGCATGCAGGGGCATAGGCAGATGAGAGGCCTGAAGTACAAAGGAACTCACAGCCTCAAGTCTGAGAGCAACTGGCCACCTGTCCCCGATCCAGCCTGTCTCCCCAAGGCATGGTGAGTTATGACGACACCACTGTCACCCTGACCCAGGGCTAATGCTAAGCTGACAGTGTGCAAACCACGCCACAGGAATCGCAAGGGCTCTGCTTTGTCTTTCACTGGAGAGGTGCTTGTTGTTAATATTATCTCACCAATGCATTTCACTCATCTCTTTCTACACCACAAGACTGCTGTGAGTCTTCTGCATCAACAGAAGAGGAGCCTAAGTCAGGGTACAGGCAGATGTGCCCAGTACCCAGCGAGAAGAGGACCCGAGACCTGTCAGCAGAAGATCCCCAGCACCCAGGGATGTGGCCTGGGGAGGGTTCTGTCCTCTCTAACAAGAGCACTTCCCCTCTGAGTAACCCCTGTCTGCACCTGCACAGGATCTGGAGCGATCCTGGGGTCTAGAAGCCACCATGCTGGTGCAGTGTTAAGACTGAGCTGTTGTGGAATCCTCAGGGACTCAGTGCGGGGGCTGGGAAGGCCTGAAGGTCCCGCAGGACAGGACCAGCTGTCACAGACATGGACATAGTGTTCTTCGCCCTGGTCCGGCATGGAGACCTTCCATTCCAAGTCCACCGAAGCTTTCCCCCGAAGCTTCCATGGGAGGCAGCCGAGTGTGCTAACAGGAAGCCAGTGACGGAGCCTGGCTGCCTTGCCTGGGCATCCTGCCGCGCAGCGGGACACTTGACAGTTAAGCTGAAAAGATCCCTGCACTGTCATCCGCCTCCTGCTCCCCTGCCGGGCTCGGGCACAGTCCTAGCACAGGGCTTGGGTGGAGAGACACAGATGAGAAAACCAATTCCCTGCACCTCTGCACTTATTAAACGTCTAAATCATATGACAGGAACACACTAGACTTGTACAGCCACAGGCTAAAGAAATAATGCCTCCTGGCTGCTGAAAAGAAGCTCCCTCTGATGCCTTCTATTGGAAGAAACACCACATGACAAGCAGCAAAGGGAAATGAGACACAAGGCAAGACAAGATAAAATGTGGGACGGTAATAAGTCACTGTCACTGCGTTTCCAGCCGGATAACATCATCACCCCCTGGCAAGGATATAAACCCGCCCTCTGGAGACTCTGCTGTCTCCTCCACGTCCCTTCCTCTCTTGGGAAAGCAGCAGGGAGTAAGGCAGAGGCCCAGAGGACCTTGCGGAGATATGAAGTCACATGTGGGATCCAAGCTCATTGCTCTGGCCTTGAGACCCCTCTTCCTACTTCTACTAGTAACCTAAAAAACACAGCCTGATTCAAGATGAAGCACGAATCCCAGCAGGGCAAGGACCAGAGCAAGCTCCTGTGTGCCCAGGTGGGCCTGGGAGGAAGGGTCGGAGACGGACTGGGGCAATGAATTCCTCCTCAAGCGCACTTTTCCCAATCCCTTGGAATTTCTCATACAGGACTTTCTGGAAAACCTTAAATCTCTAAAAGGGGCACATATGAGGCTTTGGCTGTTGTTATTTTGTTTATTTACTGTTTTTGTAGGAGCTGGAAGCAGCTGGAAAAGCCAGGGTTGGGAGGAACAGGCCAGTCCCTGCTGTCCATGACCAAAGATTGCATTCAGCACTTCGGTGACCCTGACCTGGAGGAGATGCGCTGAGCCTTCATTTCCAAAGGCGCTGTCCCACCACACGCCCTGCTTACACAATCCGAACCTTCTCACAGGCTGCAAATCAGATCATCACTGAGCTAGGACTACAAAACCTAGGCCAGTCGCCTTCTATTTAGTCCACTGCTACTGTTACCACAATTGCAAAATGGCATTTTACTGAGCAGGAAGAATACAGTGCTGACCATTTGAACCTCAGTCTTATGCCTAAACATCCATCATTTTAACAGGAACATTTCTTCAGATTTTATTGCCCAAATGACCCCACCAGGGGGCAGAATCCAGAGTCCTGCCTCTGCCTTGGTGAAGGTGAGGCAGTGTCACAGACTTCCTGTGATGGGGGAAGCCGTATTTACCCTCCACCACACATAAAGGCTGCTTCTGTCCCAGCTCAAATTTGCCTCTCTCCCTGGGGATCGGGGTAGATGCTGACAGGTAAAACTGTATTTCTGAAGTGGGGCTTCCAGATTCCACAGAGGTCAGTTCAGGAGTCTGGACTTTTCAGAACTGGGTCCAAGTGATCCAGGTGATTTAGTTTTAACTTTGCTGATTTTACTCATACAAAATAATTATGACCTGAGGTGGCAGAAACAGGCACAGCAACCAAAGGAGAGAATTCTTCATCCAAAGTTCTCGGGCTTCCCCTGTACTTTCAACTCTCAAAAGTCTAGAGGAAGCCTAGAAAGAATCTAGCTCAACCCTTCCTTCAGGAGGGACACACCCAAAATAAAGTCTAAGTACCCCGTTCAGGGTGGCTAGCACTGGAAATGCTTTCTAAATTTTGAGCAAAGAACTGAAATTTCCTTCTTTGAAAGTGCCACCCAGTGGCTCCGGCCTGGCTCTGCATCACGAAAATATTCTCCCTCTCTACAAAATGGTTTTCCACGCGGTAAACTCAGACCTCTCCTCTCCCATCACTGTTAAATCCCAGGCAGCCCCTAGGTGGAGCTTAGCCTGGGCTTTCCAGCCAGTGCCACCAGAACTCAGCGGACAGGGAGAGCCGGAGATCACAGGCAGGAAGCAGTGGCACCCCCTGCACCCTTGCCCTGCACAGCTGGCCTCTGTCTCCACGGGTTCCACACACCTCTGAGTGAAAACGTTTGTAAAAGTCAAACTTATGTCTGCACTGGATCTGTACAGACTATTTTTCTTGTCATTGTTCCTTTAAACAACTGAGTGTGCCATTTACACAGTGTGTCAGGTATTAGCAGCAATCTAGAGATGCTTTAGGGTACCTGAGAGAACCACATGGATTAAACACAAATAGTATTCGCCATTTTCATAAGAGACTTGGGCATCGATGGATTATAGTGTCCTTGGAGTTGGGGGTGGCCCTGAGAGTGACAGCTCCAATACCAAGAGACAGACGACTGTGTGCAAGTGTATACATGTGTGAGAGCGTGTGTTTCCCCACTTCCTTCAAATTGGTACACTCAGTATATTCTGCAAATAGGACACAACACACAGACCTCCAAACTTTTCTGAAAATGTCTTTTTGTTGTTTTTTTGAGGCAGGGTCTTCTTCTATAGTCCAGACTGGCTCTGAACTCACTATGTAGCTCAGGCTGGCCTCAGACTTGAAGTGATCTTCCTGACTCAGCCTCCCGAGTGCTGGGATTATAGGCCTAATAGAATCAAAAGTCAATCCATGTGAGCACCCTCTAGCATTAGACCTGAGCTCAGTGCACGCTTCCCAGTGGAGCAACGGCAGAAACACAGGCCCACGAGCTAAGAAGCCCCCTGGGGTAGCCTAGCCCCAGATGTCAAGTGTGAGGGGATTGGAGAGCAGTTTCTGAGTGAGATACTCAATCAGAGCCGCTGTCTCTGGGGAAAGGCTCCTGACAGCATCTCCAGCGGGGCCAGAACCCCCACACACCCCTGGGCGGGGCAGTGCTCCACCTGGACGCCCAAGGTGCAGCTGGTAGCAGCTGGGGTCCGCACTGAGCCCCTGCTCGAGTCCTGTGTGAGTCTGCATGGGACTCGCTCTGCTCAGCCCAGCTCAGCCAGGCTTCTCCTGCAGGACCAGACTTCCCAGGTCTGCTGTCCTGTGCCCCATGTTTGAAGGTTCCCTGCCCATTCACAGTTTCCTGTCCTTAATAGCACCACTCACATCCCTGATGGTTTTTACAGATTAGTGGAAAGGTGTGTGTGTGTGTGCATGCGTGTGTACATCTGTGTGTGTTATTAAGGACAGAATGCACATCTCCAGCCCCTCTTTTATTTTTTGCTTTGAGACAGGGTCTCACTAAGCCAGTAAGTTGCCTGGGCTCGGCTTCAACATGCAGTCCTCCTGCCTCAGCCACCTAGAGGGCCAGGATTGCAGGTGGGAGCCACACTTTCCATTTTCAGTGTCCTTTGATCTTTTGTATCTTATAAGTATGGATTATTTATTAGAAGGAGACATACTTCTGATGGTAATCACTTACTAATGAAATAGATTTCCTTCTAGACAGTGCTCAGTACAAGGAAAATGTTGCTTTGGTTGTCTATTGCTAAACATTTAATAAAATGGACACCTTTTCTTTTCTTTTCTTTGCAATTTAGAGAACTGGACCCAAAAGAATTCTTAGTTAGAACTGTTTTCTATCACATTTTGTGTGTGTGTGTGTGTGTGTGTGTGTGTGTGTGTGTGTGTGTCTTTTTGAGACAGGGTCTCATTATGCAGTTCAAGCTGGCTTTGACCCTACTTTGTAGCCTAGGCTGGTCTTGAACTTGCAAGGATCTTCCTGCCTCAGTGTCCTGCGTGCTGGGATTACAGGTGTGTGCTACCATGCCCAGCTTGTATCAGATTTTTTTATTGGATTTTTTAAAAATTTCTTTCTTTCTTTATTGTTTTGAGACAGGGTTTCACTATGTAGTCCAGGCTTGTCTTGAAAACATAGTGATCCTTCTGTCTCAGCCTCCCAAATGCTGGGATTTTAGGCATGCACTACCATGTCCAGCTTTACTGGATTTTTAAAATTCAGAAACAAAACCTACACAACATGTGATTCTTTTGTCACAGCACAGGTTTTCAAGATGCGACAGAATTAAAAAACGGCAGCCAATGCTTTTGCCTGTTAGAGAAATACCAATGTCCAACTTACCCGCTTAAAAAAAAAATCAGAAGAGGAAAATCACCAGAGAACACTGCCTCATTTCACGTTAAGCAAAGAAAGGTGGCAGAGAAGAAAGGATGGAGGTGAGGCGGGAGAGGAGAGCAAGGGGAGTTGGTGACAAAGGAGGCAGGAGGGAAAAGTGCGCCCAGAAGGACAGAGCCCCAGGGCAGCGGCGAGAGGCAGGCAGCACGGGCAGCAGCACAGACACGGAGACAGTCACCTTCCCCTCTCCCACCCTGCCACACCCTGAGCGGTTGGCACCCATGCAGTGTCAGCAGCCTCTGCAAGAGGCTGTGGCCATGACCCGAACGTCCCAGCTGCAGTCCGTCAGCCCACAGGCAGCATGTGAAGCCCTCTGGCCGTGATGGCCATGCAGAGTCCGCCCATCGGAGGCTCCTGGCAGGCATCGGCACTAGCCCCGGGCCTGCCCCACACTCACCTCCTCAACCATCTGCTTGACCTTCTTCTGCTGGCAATGCACCATGTCATCCAGGTGTCGGATCCGCTCACGGAGGCTGGCTGAGGCTTCCTCCAGCTGCTGATACCTAACTCAGGGGGGAAAGAAATGCACCTGAGTCCTGTGCCCAAACTCCCACACCAGGCAGAAGGTCGCAGTCTTGGAGAAACACTGCCAAGACCAGGAAACGGAACTCCAAGACACACTCTGCTTCTGGGGCACATCCTAGGTGACCTGGTGGGACCGAGCCAAGTCTCCACCCTAGAAAGCCTCTCTCCCTCCTGTGCCTGAGTTTATTCCTGCAGAAGGACAGCAATGGTGCTTTCCAGGGACAGGGAGGGGATGTTTTCACCCACTTTCAACTATATGAGGCTCTTTCTGGGAGTTTCTAGATGATTAGAACATTCAGCCAGTTACTATGACTAGGAGAACAGAGGGGGAGGAAATGAGCAGCACAACAAAACATCTGAAACCCAGTGCCAGGCTGCTGGAAGATCTGCAGTTACAGTTGCTCTGTGAATTATTTATTTTGGATGAACAAGGAACAGGCCGGAAGACCTCTGCATCTACGCGGAGTGGTCATAAGACATCTCCGCCTTCTGTTTCCAAAAGCACCAGCTCTTCTCTAGCTTTGCTGGAGACACAGCAAGTAGTTCTTTCATTCTGCGGGCTCTAAAGCCCACCACCCCACCCCAAGGAGGGGCCTGCGGCTCTGCACCCAGCTCTACACTCAGCATTACCGTGAAAACTGACCAAGACTCCCATCACCTTGGAGACCTTGCATCCCACAGGAGCCCGAGCGACAACCCCACAGCCGACAGCAATGGCCACTCCTCAGCCTTTTCCTTCCCAGAAGAGTCAGTTTTCTACGTCCACTCTTTCCCCCCAGGGGTCTATATCCTCACAGCCATAGCAAGGTTTGCAAACAAAACAAGTTCTTTTCAATTATTTTCCAGGACAAATGTTATGAATCATAGCTAATGTATTTCCCCAACACCCAAAGTGTGGTCCTGTGGAGCTCGAGGTTATGCAGACCTCACAGAGGCCGGGCTTTCACACCAGCCACAGAATCCGCTGCATCTCCTGGGCCACGAAGGCACCTTGGGCGGTGACATGTACAGCAGCCAGCACAGCAGACTGCCCTGCACCTGGCTGCACTCCTAAGGTGAGACCAGAGGGGCCCACAGCACCAGGGAGGCCCACCCTCTACATCCACCCTACCTCTCCTTGTCCGCCATAGGGATTTCCCCAGACATTTCCGTCTCGTGCTCTAGAAGCTGGAGTTGCAGTTGGTGCCGCTCCTGAAACAGCCAGAAATGGTGAGCAGTGGATCCCAATGAAAAGACACAGAAGAGGCTCTGGACCAGTCTGCTCCGTGAGACCCAGGCCACCGATGCCCTCCAGTCTGCACCCAGAGCCCAAACCCATCCACAATGCAGATCTGTCGGGGGCATTTACGGATGTATTTAGGGAGCAGCATCAAATACCTTGGAGAAAACCACATTCAAGATTTGCTAAAAAGGCCAGGGATATAGCTCAGTGGAACTGCGCCTGCCTGGCAAGCATGAGGTCTTGAGTTTAATTCCTGGTACCAAAAAAAAAAAAAAAAAAAGATTTGCTAAAAGGTATTGTATAACCCCAGACACTGATGTCTTAGGAAAATATATGGTTCTAAATAGATGACCAAGGCTGGAAGTCAGTAGCCTGGGACATTGTAAAACCCTTAACTGTTACCTAAATAAAAAAAAATAAAAAAAAAAAAAGGTTCTGAAATTCTGACAGTGTTCTGTGTACAAACACAGTGGTATTTACACAGCAAGATCACTTCTGCAGACTGTATTAGGGTCTGGGTAATGATTCCCCAAACTGTAAAAAACCCTTACAGATTACAGAGATTCCAATTTTCTTTTCCACCAACCTATTAAAAGCGAATCTTTGAAAGCTTAACTCCCACAACTTTGAAGCTGCAGAGATACCCCCCCCCCCGGGAACAGCTGGCAGCCCACCTGGGCCTGGGAGAGCGAGGATTAGAGAAGAAACCCACCTGGGTTTCAGTACTGCTTTAAAGTCTCTGCAGTGGGCAGAGCCAGCCCGGGCAGAAAGTCCCCCCTGCCCTGATGTCATGCACCAGATGGGTCCCCAAGGACTCTGAAATGAAGGTACAGCTCCTTCACACGTGGGTGCCCCTGCCTCCCCACAAAAATGTCATGAGCCATTCAAGATCTACCTGCAGCATGTTTCAAAATCAATTATTTTAAATAAATTTGAGGTGCAACAAAACTCAGGTATGCACTGCCCTTCACCCAGGGCCAGGCCTAGGTGTATCACCCCAAGTGTGCGTTTTGAGTTTTTCCTATGTACTTCTCTCAGAAGCATCAGAAGAGTGAACACCATCAGCATTTCAGGGGAGGAAAAGCCGGGTTTGGGAATGTGAGGTGACCATCACGCTACAAAGACAGGAGACACCAAAGCCTGGGTCTGCCTGACGCTGACCTTCTGCTCCGGCCACAAGTTAGTCTCTGGAAGATGCGGCCCCCACCCCCTCTGCTGCCAAGAGGGCACTGGATCCGCCCAGTGTCTTCTTAGGGGAGTGAGGAGACCAAGTCCCCGAGGCTTGGGGCACTACCTCCAGGCAATACCATGCTCACACCAAGGAGCCAACACCGCTCCTCAGTGAAGGCAGGCTCTGCTCCTCAGGGGAGAGGGGGCTAAGCCCCAAGCAAGGACACGAGCCACTAAGGGACCCAGGCAGCCCAGAAACTCAGTACAGGGAACCTAGTGGGGCTCCTGTGCTGGTCAGAACCCAGCAGGATGCACAGAGGGACTCCACGGCAGATGCTGAGGAGCCAGCAATATCATGGTCCCTATGGGTCACCTCTGTGTGCTAGAGAGCTGATTCTCAGAAACCAGCCACTCCCTGAACTCCTAGGGCTGTGGGCAGCTGGGCATCACCACCCCTCCTGGTCTCTGCCCTCTCTGCGGCTCCCCCTCCACACTTCCTGCCTAGTCCCCAGCCTCCTCCCTTTGTCTAGATTGCTGTCAGCATCCTCCCTCCGGTCCCTTCCTCCCTTCCCGGCCTCCTGGTAGACAGGGCAGGGCTGGGTGCGGAGCAAAGCCCACATGAACCCAAATGGGTCTGATCACAGCACCAAGCCCAGCACATGCCCGGGCCCGGCAAAGCCAGGCTGCTAAAGTATCGGGATTTTGTAAAGCATTCCTATGGAACACTTCTTTTTAAAGCATCAGAATAGTTACTAAGGGGAAAATCAGAACTTTGTTAGACTTCTTCATATTTTTAGAGCTTTAAAAAAAAAATTGCAAGCAGGCCGAGAGGAATCAGAGTGGGGGTTTTGGTACTTTCCCGCAGGGCTGCAGGGAGCTGTGGGGCACAGAGGCGCATTCTGGGGTGAGAAAACCGACACAAGTCACCTTCTCCATGCGCTCAATGAGCCTGTCCAACTCCCCGATTTTCTGGTCTTTCTCCTCCAGGCTGATCTCTGCCGCCTGCATCTTTTTATTGGCCTCTTCCACTGCTTTCAGGAAACTGTTGGTTTCTTCCTGCAAAACAAATGCACACTCAGCACAGCCACGGAGCACATCAGGCCCAGAGCGTCTCACGGACAGCAGATTCAGCTTCCGGAGTCCCAATTCATCTCTGAAGGAAGACGCACTGTGTGGCTTTTTAACAAACCTGGCTACTCCCCCCCCCCCCCCCCCGCTTTTTCATCTTGAAACTTTTAAGTGTAAGAGGTGCAGAAGCATCTGTGATGGTTTACACAACACCGAGGAGATGTGAGGATGTCCCTGTGTTTGTGAACAGTGTGAAAGGACTCAGACCCAGGTCAGGATGGGGTGGGAACGCCCAGATCATCCAGATTGGAGGAATCCATCATTGGGCCTCTGAGGGTAAGGACCCCTGGGTCCAGACCCAGACCCAGAGTCTCTGCCTACCCAGAACCCACACTGCCCTGGCTTTGATGCTCTGTGTCAGAATTACACACTGAAGCAAGGAGCAGGGTCTGTCCATCTTTGCGAAGACCTAGGCCCTTGCAGATGTGTAAGTGGCAGGCCAGGGACCCCTGGCAGTGGTGGTGGCACTTAGTGGGTGAGAGTAGTTTCAGAATGAGGGGATGTCAGGTGAAGGGTGAAAGGGCCCTGACTGGAGCAGGACAGGGATGCAGAGTGAGGAGCAAAGGGATGAACTCCTGGGTCCGAGGGCCCCTGGATCAAGCCCTGCTCCCCATCCCCCGACCTCCACCCTCGGCGCTGCCGCACACACCAGAAGCGCCTCCCTCTCGGCACTGTGCCTTCGCTGCTCCTCCTGCAGCTTCTCCTCATACTGGCTGTACAGCTTCCTGGTCATCTCCCTCATCACCTCGGCGTTGGCCTCCTGGGACGATTCCACCTGCAACAAGACGTGTGGCACCACTGTATACCACGCTTTCAGGGTAATCGGGGCGACAGTGCCCACAGGAGTGGGCTTTTCAAAAGGCAGAAGCATGACACTGCAACCCCATCTGCTGCCATGGCCTGCACCTCAGGCAGAGCTGGGTGAAGCTCAGGTAAGAAACCCAGCCTCACCTGTCCCTTCTCGTGCACCCTCCCAAGTGGCAGGAAGCCTCCACCCCAGCAGGGACACCAACCCAGTCCCTGCTAGTGGCATGAGCCGGGAGATGCTGGGGGAACAGGGTCAGTAAAATTGGGTAGTGCTGAAGTGGGCAGCCTTGGTGCCCCCTCCCTGCCCAACCATGACCTTACACAGGGACCTGAGGCCACTGTTGTCCTTTCCTCCCATTATTGCTTCCTTCAGAGAGCTGAGCCTGCTGGGCATGTCACCCATCCTGTGACCTCAGCAGGTTGGCAGAGTCACTCATAAGATCTGCTCTTACACTCTCTAATTCCCCTTTCTTATCATCGGGCAGGTGCTGGCACCAGGAAACCACAAGACGGGAATTCCCAGGCACAGGCTGTCATTAGCGAGAGCCTGACTCTTTCCGCACACACAGCTTGTGTGAAATAACCTGAGTCCCCGAGACTTCATGTTTAACTTGGAGGACGGAGTAAGATGAGGAGCAGGGAGCGGTCTCTTCAGCTCCGTGGGGCAGGATGAAAACCAAAGCCGACCTTTGGAACAGGCTGGCCCTAGAGACCACACTGCCCAGAAACATCCTTGATGTCCAGTGACACATGGCCCACACGACCAGGACACCAGGACAGACAGAAAGCACCTCTGTTGAGGCAGACACTGCCCACTCATCCCTTTCAGCCTAAGCCACACCCTCTAAGATCAGCCACCAAGGGCAGATATACGATGAAAGGAAAACGGAAGGAAGTGGCAGATCCACCATGGGAGGAGGGCGCAGGAGGTGGGAGAAGGCAGGAGGGCGGGGACCTGGGCTTCCCACTCACCTTCATCTTCAGCAGCTGATTCTCCACCTGCGCTGCCTCCAGCTGCCTCTGTTTCTCCCGCAGCTGCTGCACAGACGCCTCATATGTCTGCTGCAGATTTCTGATCTCATCCTTAATGTTGCTGTTTTCCAAAGTGACTTCCACGAGGGTTTTCTAGTTAGATGGAAATAAAACCAAAGCCAGGGCGGTATGAGGAGACACGGCCAGGGGCAGGCACTGGACACCCTCTGTCGGGCCACTGCTGCTACCCACAGGGGCTTAGGGGCTGAGGGGCTGAGGGGCCAAGGCCTTCTCGAGGTGCTTGCCACAGTGGCTGAGAGCCCTGCACCCCATGGGAAGGGGTCCGGTGAGCCTCCCAGAAAACCTCCCACAGCGGCTGCAAACACCACTGCTTAGCAGGGCTGGAAGTGGATTAACACAGACTCTTTCCAAAATACACCATTTCATGTGGAAAAAAGCAGGTTTGGAAACAGCAGATCACCATCCTACGATTAAACCCAAATGACAGACCCTACTAGGTGATGGAAGGATGGAGATTTATCGTCTTCACATCCCCTCTGTCTTCCACAACCTCGCCACAGAATCGGAAAGGATGAGTTTCACAGAATGACAATATCCCCACTCACGTCTTCACGGGGCTGTCACTGCTGTGCTTCTGCACCGCCCGCCAGGTCAGTGACAATGTGGCAAAGCTGCCACACACTTCTCCCTCCCAGTGGGAAGGTGGAGACCAAGAACCTCCCAAGAATGGAGGTGGTGACAGAACATGCCGGCCAGGGTCAGGGGCCTGTGGGTTACCACTCTGGGCCCCCAAAAGGAACAAGAATGTCTAAATTCATAGTGTTACTTGCCTATCACGTACAAGGCCCAGAGTTCAGTCCCCAGTACCACCAAAAAGTAAATAAAATAACAGTAATAAATAAATAAATTCATAGTGCTGCTATTATTGCCTCATTTTCCAGTTGGTTAGGCCCCTGAGAGAAATGACACCCACAAACCCAGAACCCTACCCCTGGCACTGGGTCAGGGCACCTCCACCACCTCCGCGGTCATCTGCAACTTCCAATCAGAAGATCTGGAAACGAGCTAGACACGGCTTTGAACACTACTACCTTGTTAGGCAATCAGCCAGTGTCCTCTCCCAGCCCTGCTGAGGGCAGTAACAAGCCTCTGGCTCCTAAACCTGCTCGAGCCAGGGAAAAGAACTGTTGGTGGAGATGCTTAGATTCTAAAGGAAATACCAAAGCCACTAGAAGTACCAGAATCATGAGGTGCGAGCCTCCAGGGCCGTTGGAAAGCAGAGCCCTGCCCAGCCCCTAGGCTCTGCGCACCCACTACTCTGAGTTCACACAAAACCCCACCCTGACCAGGAGGCCAGTTCTTTCACCCTGGTCCCCCACCAGACAGGCCCTAGTTCTCAGCACTGCTCTCCATTGCCTTGGTTGATCCATAAATAAAAGGGTTCAGGATGATCTGGGCAGTCCTTTCCTAGTGTTAGTATGCTGTGAAATCAAGCAATATGCCCTGTCCAGAAAGATGAATGCAGCAGAATGGGCAGAACGTGGTAGAAGAGACTGAGGTCTGCATAGAAAGGAAGCCCGTGGCCTTCACACATTGGCTTAATTTTTTAGTTAGGTATCATGCACCTCTGGAAGCCCAGCACCGAGAGCCTGGACATACCCAGGGACCAGTAAGGGTTCCCGGTGTAGGGCTGACTCTGTTCTAACAGCTGACCTGTGAGGTAAATTGCTTTGGACTGCTGGCCACATGGCCAACCTGAAGAATATTCCAGAAAATACTAGAAAAAAATTTTTTTCTGGGGAAGGAAAATCAGACACACAGTACAAATTACAAACCCAGCACAAACTCAGATGGGGTAAAGCCCTGTGGGCTGGGGTTCAGGTGGGAAAGAAGAGGGGCTTGGCGAGCACTCTTTCTGATCAGAGGAAGGGCCAAAGGCTCCTGAATCAGCCAGCGCCATCGTGGGTCTCAGCATGGGGCCAAAGGATACAGGAAACAGATGTGGGCATCCCGGGCAAACCAAACACAGCAGCCACCCACTGCTAGGCGGGCCAAGCTCTGTCCTGCCAAAGCCACTGTCTCAGCCTCAGCCGAGGTCGGATGCAAAATCCCACGTTCCAGGAAGTGGAGAGGCCCCACAGGGAAATCTGTTTACTTATTCCCAAATGATTTATCCAGGACCAGGGTGGATTTTAAATACTTTGTGTATCTCTTAGGAATCCAGGAAGATGATAAGGCCAAGTGAAGTTGGAGGAGGGGTGGAAAGGATTGTTTACACACTGGAAGTAAACCAGAGGGGAGCAATTACAAGCAAACTGGTCTGCTTCTGTTTGAAAATCCTCAAATTTTGTGGTGAGCTCAGTAGGGGACACCTAGCCTACGGAGGAGGAGGAGAAGAAAGGATTGTTTGAACGGTGGGCACTCAGAATAATCCCCTGAAGCAAGCTGACAGCACATCTTGTTTATATAGGCTTCAGGGTCTTTCTGTCTGTCTAGTGCAGCAAGACAGTCTTTGGTTCTAGCTAATGCAAAATAATTTCTAAATTAAGCAAAAGAGCTGCCAGCCTTTGGGAGCTACTGCCAAGAGAGGGTACAGATTGTCTCGGGTTAAGTCTGTCTTTTCTAAATTCAAATAAATTAGGATATATAAATAGTAACTCTTTTCGATTTCCTATTAACTTGTTTTGAAGTCCTGTAGTACTCCCACGATCTTGTTTTGACTGATTAGACTCTGTTCCATTCTATATGATAGTATCAAGTTTGAAGACATAGGCAACTACTTTGAAGACAATAAGATTCACTAAGATACCCATTCTGGTTTGACTATTGTCTTCTTTGGAAGTCCTGTAATGTTTACAATGCCTAAGTTTTATTGGTCTTGTTCTCTACTGTTTTGTCCAACTTTATAATATCTAATAAGATAGACAATTCTTTTTAAGGAAACAAGGGACAACGTTGATAACCATTGTTGATAAACTTGTACTCTGTTCTACACCATGTGCTACGTCTATCCTTGGTATTGACTGACAGCTTTGTTTTGCCATATTTGACTGTATTCTTCCCCCCCCCCAAAGAAAGTAATAAGCACTAAGGAGTAATAAAATCCAAGATGTGTAAATTTTGTTGTAAAAAAGAGAGGGAAAAAAAAAAAGAAAAAGAGCTCTAACGGATATAACAGCAAGTGTGTTTGGGGGTGTTAAATAGCTGACTTTATCAATGTTTTTGGAACATTGAACACAGCTGTTTGCAGTCTCCCTGTTTGAATGTCCACCTTGTGTTCTTTGATACTGTGATTTGAGGAACTGTTTTCAAGAAAATAGTGTGTAATCTACTAGCAGGTAATTTCTTACTGTTATGGTTTTTTGTTTTGTTTTGTTTTGTTTTGTTTTGTTTTGTAGTTCTGTATTGCGTGTACCCTTACGCCGCTTTGGTTTGTTTTGTGTTTTTCTCTTTTTCCTCTTAAATAAAAAAAAAAAAAAAAAAAAAGTCTGTCTTTTCTGTGACCGGTGGAATTTCCTGAGGCCCAGGATACAAGGTGAAGGATGCTGGGGAGCTGCACCCAGGACATCTCCACATGGGATGGCACTGTTACAGGCAGCTGAGTTAGTTAAAAATGTTACAGGCAGTCAGGCAGGGCTGGGCTCTCAAAGGAGCCAGTGCAGAAGTTCAGGTACCTTGTGACCTCTGGGGAGATAGGACCTGCTGCTGTGGGCCAGATCTCAAGACAAAAGGCAAAGCAAATACACCCTCATCCTAAGGATGGACAGTCCAAATAGTTCTCCATCACCCCAAGGAGTCAGGAGTCAGCATCCCACCCCTACAGGAAGAGCCGCTGCTGTTAAACCTGCCCGCTTTTTTCCTTGATAGTGTTGGTAAAAAAAAAAAAAAAAAAAAAACAAAACCTGCCTGCTTGCTACGTGACTAGCTCCCCCATTTGCTCCTAATTTAATCAATTTTACCTGAGCAGTTAATCTCATTGGTTGACCGAGATTCTGTCCTGCCTTATGCCCACCATGTGAGTTCCCAGTTTTTCCTACCTTGAACCTGTCCCACCCCATGATTTTACCCTAGAAAAGTCCCTAGAAAAGACAGAGTTTTTGGCAACCCACTCGGGACCCCTTCTGTCTCTCTCAGACAGACCTTTCTTTCTCTCAATAAATATATTCAGCTTTTACCCTCCATTGTTCCTAAAATTCACCCTTTAATTTTGGAGAACACAAACTCATACGGGACACAAAGTAGGTCAGGAGTCGTTCCCCTCTCTTAGAACCACACCTGGCCCAGCTGGGCTGCTCTGCTCAGAAGGCAGCACCAGCACGTACCTGCAGGCCGATGGAGTCCGACGCCAAGGCAGAGTTCATGGCAGTGAAACTATCCAGGGCCGAGGACTGGGTTTGGATGTGGTTCTCTAGATAGTCCTGCCGAGCATGGGAAACCTGGACAGAGGAGGAGACAGGCACTCAGCCAGTCCCCAAACCCCCCCATGGCAACCTCCCACTCCACATCCACATCCACAGGGCTCAGTCAGGCTGCAGGCTAAAAGCCAGTCTTGGCCTGATCCAAAGAGCAGGAAAACAAAAATACTTTTCTCGGGGTGCTGCTTACACAGTCACCCACAGGGCCCCAAAGCAGCTGTCAGAGCTGGCTCTTCACAGGGGTTAGCATCAGAGAGGATGGGCGATCTGCTCACAGACACACTCCCCGAGCAGCACGGCTAGAAAGGGAACCAGCTGGACGTGGGTGTCCACCATCTCGCGCTTTGCATGGACTACAGGAAAAATGGGCCATGGGCTCACGCGATGCACAAGAGGTCTTTTCACTGCTGCGGCCTGTGTTGGTGTGTTTAACGAGTCGCAAAGTGGCATCAGAAGCCAGGCTTGAGTGAGATGTCAACAAGGACTGGGGACAAAGAGTTAGGGCGGCCACAGGACTAGGGGTCGGGGGTCCTCAGGAAGGCCTGAGGTGGTCAGTGAAGTGAGACACACTGGCAGCAGCAGGAGACTCCTGCCTCGGGCAGCAGCCAGCGTGCCTCATCCAGCTAGGAACTCGGGGCAGTCCAGGAGAGGAAGAGACTGGCAAGGAGTCAGGGTCCCGGGGCAGCTGGGGCATGAGAAAATGAGGGTGTGCAGGAGACAGTGGCGGAAAGCAAGGGTGGTGTCTTGGTTCCCTGCTCCTGCAAACTCTACCCGTGGGCACTGCAGGCAGTGGTCAATGCTGTCAGAGGGAGGCAGGGCAGATTTCTGTGACAAGGTGAGACTGTGGCCATCTCCGCCTACACTCCAGGAGGAGGGGCAGGAGGGCATGTGTCCACACCGCAAGGCCACAGGGCTGCTTGAACAGATCCCCACGGCCCAGCCACAAACGGGGCTGCTGGCCACAGGCTGTCACTGCCTGCCTCCTTGCAGGTACTGGCTCATGTGGGAGGATGGCCACATGCAGGGCCACTTACCTTTGGGATTATTAATAACATATGTCACAGGAGGCCCACAAGAGTAGCTTGCTAGACTGGAGGAAGCTTACAGTTCTTAAAATTTCTGAGTAGGAGTGCAAGGACACGGGGCCAGCATTTAAAAAGTATTAACCTGGCTCTTGCACAGGAGCCAGGTTTCCGCCCTGCCCACCCCACCCTTACTGTCTTCCCCCAAAATAAGACGTACTAGAAAATGATCAGCCTTGAAAGCTGGAGATGGAAAATGCCAGCCCCTGCAGCCTGCCCTTGCCTCCCCTGCTGTCACCGTTCCCTTACTCCTGGGCTGCGGGCACTGTGGATCTCTTGTTTTTAAGCCTGATTATTTTCCAGTTAGGTCCTGTTTTCAGGGCAGCCCCGGGGTTAGGGACCCACCGTTAGTCCCTTCTGGGTTAGCCTTTTAGTAACTTTCATGCAAACACAAAACAATCTTGAAAGAGGTATTGTCTCCTCCTGTCTTCTATGAATGGTAGCAAACTACACATATTTTTCTACAACCTGCTTTTTCATTTATTTCATATCTTTGACGGTTTTCCCTAACCAGCTTTTTGGACAGAGCCAAATTGCCTTTTTTTTTTTTTCAACTGTATGGTTTTTATGGGAGAGATGTAGTTTGCTTTCCTATTCTTGATATTTGGATTTCTAATCTTTTCACCATGATCAACAATGCAGCGATAGACTAGTTCATGCCTCAGGCATTTCACATATGGAGCATTTAATCGGTAGAATAAATTTTCACGAACAGACTTGGGGGGAATGCTTTGAATATAAACAAGATTATTGTTATTGAAATTTTCTTTCTGATAATAAACTTTAAGGTGTGATAAAAATTCCCTCCTTTCATTTGAAGTATGGCTCATCTATGAAGAAAGTTACTCGCTCAGACAGCTTTAGGTGCCAGCCACCATTGTGGGGCAGCTCCCAGCTCGGCACGCAGCCACCCACACCGCTCCACCACTAAGACCCCGGCTCACAGACAGGTCCTGCGTGAGCTGTCGAATCTTCTGCTGCATTTCATCATAGTCTCCATACATGCGCCTCCTTACTTTCTCCAAAGTGGCTCTCACCTGCAGCCCACAAAAGACAGTACCAGGGATCGTTATGCCAGCATGACATTTTCATGCCAGTGTCTGAAATTTTACTAATGAGAGAACGGTCACACACACACAAACACACACACACACACACACCCCTAAAAAATAGTAATCTTGTGAATGAAGGGTAAAGATCACTCCCGAGTTAGTTAGATGTAGTTAGAAAACAACTATCCAAATAATAATATTTACAAATAAGAATTATAGATACCTAAAATAATAAACACTAGTTATCCAAATAAACTCTGAAGAAAAAGTGGTTTGTTGAAATTTACCTGTCACTCTGCAACCACCTAGGATTTAAATTCATTTGTCAGCACAATGAGGAACCTTACAAGCAGGCTCTGCTTCTTCCTGTCTTCTGGGCCCCTCGGTGGGCAGAGTCCATGGGAGCTTCACTCTGGCCAGGATGTCTAGGGCCATTCTCTGAGAGCACCCCCAGGGCTCCCTCCCACCTTAGGCAGGCTCGGGCCACAGTTCATCACAGAGCAGGTGTTTAGGGACAGTCATGCAGATCTGATGGCAGACATGTGCTGCCTAGCAATGTCCTATTTTTAATTAGACCAGACATGGTGGAGAGGTAAGGGAGAGAGAAGCCATCCTTCTCCAGATGCATCTTAATAATGGAATTTTCTTTCTTGCCATCAACTATAGACATATGAGGCTAAGAGCATGGCTTCCATCCTAGGCTAAGGGAATGACCACCCCCTCTACTCCCCAAGCTGGGTCCTGTGTGCCCCATGGGGAAAGAGTGGCATCTTCTCATGGGTGAGCACCACAGAAGCCAGTAGGGCCAGAGATTGGCTCACCAGAGAAAGAGCAGAGACTAGGCCACAAACACACTTCAGGATGACCAGGCCAGTGATGGGCTGGAAGCCAGTTATAAAAGGTGGGACCTGGAAATGAGCTTTAAATTGCAGATGGCAGTGGAGGTCACTAATTTTCTGCATCAGAACCAGCTCTGCAACTCCGGCATGTGTCAGACCCAGCTGAAGATCAGCCGGAACCTGCTGTCTTTCTCTTGGGCAACTCACAACTCTGGTCCCTGCATGGACAGTTGACCTTTGAAGCAATCCCAAGCTATTTAGAGTATGGAATGAGGAAGGCCTCGAATCTCTGAGCTGTGAAGAACGATCAGGAATGGAGTATTCTGCATGGTTATAAACTCTTGGGAAGTACAATAAACCAGGAGTTGAGGCCAGTAGTTGTCAAATTCTGTGTGTGTGTGTAGTTATCCTCATATTTTATAGTAAGCATTTATTACTTTTTAAAATTCAAGAAGAAATGTTCTTTCAAAGCCCATACAACAGTGTGGCATTGTACACTATCTGGAGCAAGCAAACTGCTTGCTCCAGAATTGCAGGTTGTCACTTTAGGGATCAGAGCCTAACTCCAAGGAAGCCAAGGCAGTGGTGGCGAACCTATGGCATGCGCCAGGCAGGGGACCACCTATGGTCACTGAAAGCTCTAACAGCTTCACCATCCCTGATCTAGGGGAGAACTGAGTGGAAGGAGGAAAACAGATACAGGCAAATTTAAAAAATTAGAAGAAAATACTCCAAAATGTTAACAACTATAGCGGATGAATGATGAAATTATGGGCATTTTCTTCTTCGTACACTTTTGCATTTTCCAAAATTTCTCCAAAGCATATGTAATTTAAAAGATAAGGAATACAATACGGCAAATGAAGCAGTGACACTACTTGGTTCCAGCTGGACAGTCCCCCCCGCTGAGGGGGACTTCCTAGCATCCTGCTGCTGGTCTGAACCAGTCAAGACCTTCTTGTGCTCCTTATCAGGGATTGGTCTGAGGAACCAAACATGTGACCAGCCCAGGCCAATCAGACCTAAGGGGAAGCCTAATGGGGGAGAGCTATCCCCTTCAAAAGTGTCCAGAGATATGAGTGGTCGCATCTCTTTCTCTAGACACAGACATATTTTCAGAAGATGCCCCAAGTTTGAGATTGAAGAAAGAAAAATGGAAATACAGAGAAGTCGAAGCAGGGTTGGATATATCCTTCCTGGAAGCCCACCTATCTCCAGTCTCAGGACCATAGGAGATAAAATTTCCTTTTTGAGTTGACTTTTCTGTTGCCTACAGCTAAGAGTAGCTGCGAGTGTTTATGCATAGGTGTGTCCTGTGTAATGCAAAACTGCTGAAGAGCCTCTGTGCCATATGTGGAAGAAGGAAGCTGCCCTTAGGTATGCTAAGGATCCCTACTTAGTAACATCCACTCCCGAGAGGTCTAGCCTGTGCCTTGCTGCAGAACTGCGTCTGTACTTTTAACGTTATCACCTAAAAGAGCACTCAGCACTCTCCCCAAACGCCTACCACATTCACATCAGTGCTTCCAACTCCACCCTCTTCCATGCTGCAAAAGGAGTACAAGACACAAGTGGAAAACTCCCCAGTGCCTCACATCTTTGATGTAGTTCATCTCTTCTTTCAGCTGACTGGTAGACCAGCCATACACCACCATTTCCTTCTGCTGGTTTTGATCCGATGATCTTCGAACCACGCCGTAAACCACACCCTGAGGAAGTTTCCTGGTCGTATCGCCACTGTTTGGTTCAGGAGGCTAAAAGGGTTAGGAACAGAGAAATGGCAAGTGACGGCAGGCCCCGTGGTAACAGCTGTGCTGACAGGCCCACCATGTGGGATCGTGCAGGGTGGCCCCGATCTGGGTGCCTGGCTGCAGTGGCAGAGGGGTGGATACCTAGCCTGGTGTCTGCTAGCCCAGTGGTGCCTTGGGTGGGCCAGGCCTGCCTTTATCCTTGTGTGGACCTCTGCAATGGACCTGTCTGCCAACTTACAGATCAGCAGCCCAGCCCTGCCATTCGGCCCTTCAGGGGGTGACCTTTCCTAATTCCACTGAAGTGCCAGGAAGGCTTGGGTCAGGACACACAGTTCTGAAACCTCGCACTCCTGATAATGCTGGTCTGATGACTCCCATCTTGTTATTGAGTGTTTGGCCTGAAATGTGGGTGGTTGAGACTGGTGGTCACCTGGCAGCCACATTGTCCTCCAAGCACAGGGCTGAGCCAGGGCCGAGATCTGAGGGAAGAGATGGGCTTAGTACACAACTTGTTGTAACTATTGGTGAAACGTATCTGGAAAGCCAGACAGAGCAGTATGACTCCAGCCCTAAAGAATCTTCCTGTTCCTACAAGCGGAATCTTAATTACTTCAATTAAGGATTGCTTGCTGTTGAGACACAAATCCCCCTGAGAAAGGCCCGCCTCATCATGGGCTTGTCCGAGTGAAGGCTTGGGACATGAGGAAGGGGGAGTCAAGCTTTGCTGAGCCCCGAGGGAGGCTGGGACGCCTCTGCACACCCATGCTGCAGCAGAGACTTTGTGCTCTACGTCCCAGCCGTGGAATCCGAAGCTCAGAGAGACAAAAGGACTTGCCGAGGAAGGAAGGGAAAAGAAAACCAAAATGAGAAAAGGATAGAATGGAAACAAAGCTTTGTAAATAAGGAAGGGAAGAGGGGCTGAAGTGGGGGAGAGGAATAGGATAAAAAAGAAACCAAGATTCATGTGTACAGGTACAAATTCCCTGTGGTGAACGTCACATGTGTATCTATAAAGCACCAATAAACCTAATAACAAAAACAAGAGCTCGCTAAGGATCTCACAGGTCAGTGCCAGCCCCGGGTGACTCTAAGGCCACCCCCTCGGACTGCAGAGTCTGCGAGGATGAGGAAGGACAGCAGAGGGGCCACCACACACAGGCACAGAGGTAACCAAGAAGCCCACAGACAGGGCTTCCCAGATGCGCCAGCCCCTCTGACCTCCCTGGCTGCCCCGACCTCAGTAGATGCCCCTCACAGATGCCCAAACCCTGAGCTTTGGGGCTCTCCTTGCCCCCCGCCCAGGGCTGGGATGACAGGTGTATGTCAGCACACCCAGCATGGAACTTTCTCTTAAAAGCTTAGAGTAAGACAGACAACAAATTACTGACGGTAGCAACCTTCAAGCAGGCCAGTAGGGTGGCCAGGGGGTGCTGGTGTACAACTTTCATTGTTTTCTCACTGCTTCTGTATTGTTTGTTTCATTTTTTTTTTTTGTACAATTAGAGATTTTTATCAGTAAGAAAACACATCCATCAGGTCCTATCCTCCGGACCTGCGTCACGGAGGGGAGACTGGAGGTCTTCTCCTTCCACCCACTGTACCCCAGCAGGGCTAACCTAGTTTCCACAGACCCTGCTGGCACCCCAAAAGGTGCTCCCAAGTTTACAGTGGGCTGTTGCATTCCCAAATGCCAGGAAGGCAAAGCTCCGGCTCTGGAACACGGACTCCACCCAGTTCCTGAAAAACAAACTGACGGCAGACAAAGCCAGGGGTGTGGAGCACTGTCCAAGGGGCCCGGAGCAAGGGGCACAGGGGAGATTCTGGGGCACACAGCAAATCCCACAATGCCACTTTTTGTTTTAAGAATGGGCATTAAGAAGCTGGGCATGGTGGCACACACCTGTAATCCCAGCACTCAGGAGGCTGAGGCAGGAGGATCATTGTGAGTTGAGACCAGCCTGGGCTACAAAGTGAGCTCAAGGCCAGCCTGAACTGCATAGGGAGACCCTGTCTCAATAAGACAAAAAAGAAAAAGGTGTGTGTTTCAGTCAGGCATGGTGGTGCATGCTTAAAATCTCAGTACTTGGGATATTAGGCAGGAGGATCTCAAGTCTGAGCTCAGCCTGCCCTGAAGATCCAGACACTATTTCAAAACAACAATAATGAATATGTGTCCATGTAAAACTTCTGGAAAGACATGATCCAAACCTTACTGACTATTTATTTCCTCAGCAAAATGGGATGTCATTTTCTCCCCTAAATTCTTGCACACACTTTTTTGGGGGGAGGGGCACAAAAAAATCCAATTATCGAATTGATAATTTTTATTTTAATATATGGAAAAGAAGTTGTAAAGGTTGTTAAATCTCCAGGTCTAAACAAGAGACTTAGGAGTTCCCGGCCACAGCAGGGGAAGGGAAGGGAAGCAGAAATATGTATGAAGACAGAGGAGAGAAGAAATGTTTGCTCTCTAGGAATTTTATTACAGTCTGTTCACTAGTCCCCATCATAACTCTCATCATCTGTGTAAAAATGATGGCAGGAAGTCTACATTTAGGCTCCTGTCTTTGTCCTTCCAAAACTAAACTTGCTCCTTACCTCAAGTGCCTCCAAACTAGCTGACAATCAGATGGAAAGCCCATTGCAGAGTCTCAAGTCGGGGGAGACTCTGAGAACCAGCCCTTGGGTACCAGGGCCACGGGAGTGGCCAGTGCAGGGCGCACCTCCTCCCTGGAAGGCCCACTACCTGCAGCATCAACTCCGGGAAGCCTAGGTCTTGTTTGTCCCCTTCCTGGTCACAGCCTTCAGCATCCAGCAGAGACAGACACAGGATGACTTTCTAAATTAATATCTGCCGTGTGACTGGGGAGCTTTGGAAGCTAGAGGTGCCACCCAGGGCACATCGCAGGGTCCAGCTCAGGGACATCTTTCCTGGTTCCTTAGATGGAAGGATGGAGAACTGATGTTCACCCCAACTGCAAAAGTTGAATTCAGAGAAGCTCCAAGGAGCAGAGACTGCTATTTTCACAAAACATCAGCATGCCTGCAACCTAAAATTGGAGATTATAGGAAGAATCACAAGAGCTGACGAGTTCGGCAATGTCTGTTGCTGAATTTTTTTCCTCTGGTATCCTTTAAAATATCCCTCTGTAGGATAAATATTAATTTTAGGCATGATAAAAGCATTGTGATCATATTAAGAAAGTATCTTTTTTTTTTTTTAAGAAAGTACCTTTGAGAATAACATTCCAAAATATTTGGAGCCTATTTATCTACTCACACTGGGACTGGGGGAAACGTGGGCTGCGTAAAGGGGCAGTGACTCATCACACAAGTCAGTCTTGCTCTCTAAAGTTTGGACACTCTGGAATTAAAGGGTTTTTCAATTGTCTTGAAGTGCTGCTTGATATTTAAAAAATCAAATTTTAAATATACATATGAGATCTATGACAAGCTTTCTTTCTGGGTATTAAACAACACTGAGCAAACATTGAAAACAAAAGCCCTAATAAATGCTGAAATGCCAAGAAAGTTGTTAGTGAAGAAGGGAAAGGGAAGGAAGTAGCCAAACAAAAAGGCCTCCTTCACCGCCCGAAGTGACAGACACTGGGGTGACCAACAGGTGTGCCAAGCACTGCTACGAGGGTGCTCACTAGGAGGGCACTCCCTATGAGAATGCACAGCTTGAAACCCTCCTGCGAGCTCACAGGACAGGCTCCCTAGAGACATCCTCAGCAGCAAGCCCCTTGGAAACCCCGGAGGGAGGAGCCACCTTGGAAAACAACTCTGTCTCAATCCTTGCCGCCAGGGCCTTGGAGCAGTGACAGCGACAGCCGACCCGTTTTTTTCCAACTGCTGAATTAGAATACCACAGAGCCAGCACCACAGAGCCAGGGGTCCCATCTGCCACCCGCACTGCCGCACCCCAGTACCCAGCACCAATAAAAGCACAAGTGCATTTTAAGGAAGGCAGATCAACTAGCTGGGTTTGGCTGAAATATCTGGAGTATCTGACCATCCTGGACCCAAGGAATCATCTGTTCAAAGGAAGAGAATCCTCTGGCCGAGGACTCTCAGGGGAACAACTAACAGCAGAAACACCGCTGGCTGACTCAAACCAGGGCCACAGAGGCCAGCAGGGCAGTGGGTCACACAGCCAGGCGGCCAATGTGACCTCAGAAACTCATGACAGGAATGAACCAAAGCAGTAGATTAGGACACAGCAGACTGGCTGGGGGAAGGAGCTGTGACCTATTAACTGCGAAATTCCCCACTCAAGAAGAGTTCCCAGACCCCTGCAGGTGGACGTCTCAGAACTCCAGCAGGGTGCCAATGGGACAGCCCAGACCTGACCTCAGCCTGAGGGGCAGGAGATAGGAAAAAGAAAGCTGCCATGGGGCTTTTGGTCACTGTGAACTCTTGTGCATGGTGGCCAACCTCCCGCTGCAGGGTACACTCCCTCCCTGACTTTTCCTGGCCCCGATGGGCTCTGCAGGGGTCACTCTTTTCCTGCCTTTAAGAAAGGAAAAACCTTACTACCATTTGCCCTTGTTTTGACCAATTCTTTGCTCAGGACAGAAAGACCCTAGAAACCACCTTTGAAAAGGGACTGTAGCACCGCAAACCTTGTAACAAAATGACTTGGTGAAATAGAGGCCAAGTTAGTTCCTCCGCAGCTTGCTTTGGCCCTCACCTGTCCTGCCAAAGGGCAGCTGCTGCCCTGGCACTGCTGAGAGCCTGGCCCCAGGCATCCAATCCTCCTGCCAGCTCGTGCAGGAATGCGCACCAGCCTGTCTGGCCTATGCATCCATCTTCATGAATCACTGGTCCAATCACTACTCACACATGACATAGTTTGCCTCCCTATAACAAAAATGAACATTAGAGTGGAACCTGAGGGCCTTGTCACAACCCAGAAGAGAAACAGAAGAGAAAGCCAGCCCTGTATCCGCAGAGAAGTGGAAACCTTTACTTTACCAAAACTGACAACATCACAGACTGAA